CCAGTGATGTTTCCTCAGGAGAGCCTGCACACTAGCAAGATCCCGTCCATAATCGTCTGATAAAACAGCGTTTGATTTCTCGTTCATCCACGTTGCTGTTTCTTCAACGGCTCTGTTGAATTTCTGTATCTCGTGAGCTCCTTCCAAGACTTGTCTCCTTTGCTGTGAGAGCTGCTTTAGCATCCCCCATGTCTCATTAACTAACTGTAAATAAAAAGAATTAAAGTGTTACAGCTATAATTATGAAGGTTGTCAGTAGTGACCTTTCTTTTAGATGTTATTAGTTCTGATTCAGGATGATACTCATGAATCAGTTTTTGAGCAAACTGGTTCACTGATGTAATACGAGGCTCATTTGCTTGAACATCCTATGGGAAATATACAGTAGCATGATAATATTATAATAAAAAAGTTATAATTCTTAATTTTTGCTTAAAAAAATTATAGACAGACCTTAGAAAACTCATCAAATTTTGTTTGTAGGAGCTCCACGTGCTCTAAGTCTTTTCCTGGCTCACTGGAGCTTGCAATAGCCATTCTGTCGTTCATCCAGGTTAATACTTCATCAGCTTCTCTGATGAATTGCTCTCCTTTTTGAGCATACTGGAGCTTCTGTCTCTTGTCAACTGAAGCAGTGTGGAGCTTGTCCCAAGCTGACTCTATCTGTTCTAGCCTCTTCTGCAAAATTAAGAAAGATAAATGAAAGAGATTAACAAGTAATCATATACCTTAATGGCTTCTGCTGCAAAGTGATCCTGTGCCATTTTCCTTCCCTTATTCTTTACTTCCATCATTGAGTTGGTGTGTGCAGCAATCTCAGCTTCAAAGGACTGGTGCTTTTGTATCTTCACCTTTAAAAAAAAAGAAAGGAGAAAAATAATAGAATAGATGCATAAATCAAAGCAAATTGCTATGAAAAGATAAATATAACAGATCTAGTAGGCACTTTTTCAACTGAAAGCTTCTATGCCTGCATGCAGTGGTTGTAGTGTTTATTTTCGATTTCTTACCTGTAGGTTTCTTCTGTCCTTGTAAGATTCGTCAGAGGCTATGCGTATCTTATCATTGATCCAGGACTCTAGATTGTCAGCGTCGCTGTAGAACTGGTGCAACTGTTTGGCCTGCTCTAGTTTGAGACGGCGGGAGGAGACCGCCTCGGAAAACTCCTGATACTTGAGCAGGACCTTCTCTCTCCTGTTGCGTATATCTGTGGGCCGCTCCTTGCTGCCGCTGAGAGGTCGGGCAGCACTAAGAGGACGTGTACGACCGCCTGAACTGGCCATTTTAAATACTTAAGATCAAGAAAATATAGTTCCTCGAGTTTCTCAATGTAAACAATTTTCTTGCTGCAGAGTCCAGCCACGCCCCAAGTGATGTTTGAATCAAAACGAGATCACGTGATCAAGATACTCTCAGCTCAGACAATGAATAAAATAAAAACCCACAGAAATTTTAAAATCAAAAATTATAGCTATTTTGGCTTTTACGATACGCTTAGCAATGAAATATTGCACAGTATAAGTCTGGTATTATTATAATAAAATCATAATTAACTTAATACTTTTACTGTGTTATAAAATGTGGTGTGTATCAGTTGGTGAATATCCTGTTGAGCGGGAGAAGAGGAGTCAGGGAGAACGAGAGTGTCTCCACTAAAAATAGCAAAAAAGAAAGTGTATAAATAATAAAATCTATACATGTACATGTACACAGCAGTATTTGTGCTGGATCATTCATTCATAAATTGTGACCAAGAGTACATGTAGATAATATTTTGAATAAACACAGAAATTAAAAATATGCATGCATCATAAAATAAGGCACATAGTTTTTGCATGTAATTTAGTATGCATTAATTATCTCAATTACAACATGTATTACTACCTTAAGGCCACTATTATTTGCGAGTACTAATTTTTGCGTTTTTTGCGAGTGGCTTTAAAATCGCAAAAATTAGTACTTGCATTTTATTTATAATTTACGTTTATTAACAGTTATTAATTGGAAAAAAATGAGCAAAATCGTAAAAATTAGTACATGTTAAATCAATACCATTAACAAATCGCAAAAATTTGTCTACTTAAAAATAAG